GCCCTCCCAGCCCTGACATTCCCTGTTCTAAGGGCCCTTCCAGCCCTAATATCCCCTGTTCTAAGGGCCCTCCCACCCTGACATTCCCTGTTCTAAGGGCCCTCCCAGCTCTGACATCCCCTGTTCCCTCCCAATTCCCAACTCCCAGCTGGGGTTCACTCTTAGCAAAAATCACCAGGTCAGAGTTCCATTTGTTATAGTGGAAAGAACTCTGGCCTTGGACTGGCAGACCTGGATTCACATCCTGCCTCTGACTCTTCCTAGTCGTGGTACTCTGGGTAATTCTCTTAGCTTACTTATCTAAAAATGGGTGTAATTATCTTGGCACTCCTGGACCTCCCAGTTTTTTTTGAAAGGAAAGCACTTTATGAACTGGACAACTCTGTCAAATGTGAGTTAGCGTTAGTTCTGGAATATTCCAGGAGAGTGGCCCCAAGGGCACAGGAAGTGACCCCTCAAAGACAGGCCTCAAACCCTGACTCTGCACTAGCAGGTAGAATTCATGGTCGGAAGGAACTCTAAAGGTGGCTTGGTTACAACTTGGAGCCAGGAAGATCTGAGTTCAAATCCAACCTCAGACACTAGTTACATGATCTTGGGCAAGTGATGTCGCCTCTGTTTGCCTCAGTTTCCTCATCTGTAAAAGGGGGACAGTAATAGTACCTCTCCCTCCAGGTTATTGTGAGGATCAAACGAGATCACATATTCAAAGCTCTTGGCAAACCTTCAAAGTGTTGATGATTGGTGGAAGGGATTTGCCCACCCTCTTCTTGGTGAGGAAACTGAGGCCCACGGAAGAGAAGCAGCTGGCCTAAAGGATAAATGACTTTGTTGTCTCCTTCTCCCTCTACCTTTCACCTTCTTTCTTCCCCTCCTCTCGCTTAACTCCTGTTTGCTCTCCTCCCCCTCCTCCTCCTCCTCCCCCTCCTCCCTCTCCTCCTCCCCCCCCCCCCCCCCCCCCCTCTCCCCCCCCCCCCCCCCCCCCCCCTCCTCCCCCTCCCCCTCCTCCCTCTCCTCCCCCTCCTCCCTCTCCCTTCCTTTCCCCTCCTACCCCCACCAGGGACCTGGAACCGCACTGTGAATCCAGCCATGTGTTCTTGTCTCACCTCGCTGCATTTATCCGCCAGGGTTTCCACGCTCCAGTTTTCTTTGAAAGGCTGAGGAGCAGATGAGGAGAGGCAGGCCTGGGGACTTCCTGAGCCAGGGTGTCCTTCCCTCGGGCCAGGCCATGCCCTTGCAGGATCCCTGAGAACACAATTAGACATGCAGTCGAGGTCAGCGAGGATCCCCCACCCACAAAACTGGGCACTTCTTTCTATGTCTCTCGGGTTAGCTGTTTGACCTGGCCTTAAGTTCAGCTTATCCTCATTTAGTTACTGGTTGTGTGACCCTGGGCAAGTCACTTAACCCCTCACTCGCCTCAGTTTCTTCATCTGTAACATGAGGACATAATGTCACCCACCTCACGGAGCTGTCACGACCATCAGGTGAGGTGATCCGTGTAAAGGGCTTAGTGAGCTTTCGTGCCCCAGAAAGGCCAGGTCCCACTGTGACCTGCTCCGCCTCCTTGACTCCCCATGGCCGGCCCCCCATCCTGTGATCATGCCAGTTTCCACAGCATCTCTGGCACACTGCTCCTGCCCCCCAAGCTCCATCACACACGTTCTCTGTGCCCAAGACCTCAGCCAGCTCAGCTTCCAGGCCCCAGGGACGCACGCAGACAGCCAGACTCTCCGGGGCCCACAGCAGGCCTCCCCGGCTCTCTTCTCCTTACTCCTGTCGGGATGCTCAAGGCTTTGGCCATCGTGCCCGGGTCCTTCAGGATGGGAGAAGGGGTTGTGCCTGAGTGGAGTTATTGGCAGCTGCCTCTGCTGCCTTCCTGGCCCCTGGCCCAATTACTCAGCTGCCCTGCCTGCTTGACTGTGCTAACACAAGGCCTCTTTGGAATCAGGCCTCCTGCCCCATCACCTCTGACAGGATCTACAGAGGATACCAACCCCCTGAATGAACATGGGGTCATTTGGCCCCATACATTTCCAGAGGTGGGCCCAATTGGTCATTTTTCATCTGAGCACTGGCCTCATTCACCTGCTTAGCTGGACCGTCCTCTTTAGATTCTGTGTAGACTAGGAGACTGAAGATGGGTTTGGAGGAGGGTAATCAGTTACCAAGACCCAGGACAAGGTCATGAAATCCGCCCCCTCCAGAATTAGCACCCTGGGAACACGTAGGTACGCTCTGAAGGAGGCCTTATCCGCCTGGCACGGCCAGTCTGGGTCCCAGGAAGCCCCCCAGCATCTGCTTTCACTGGAACAACTCAAGGGCCAATCCTTTGGGAGCAAGATGGTACCATCCCCTTGCCCCTCAGGCCTCTTGTCTCGCCCCATTCGCCATCCCACCTGCTGCTGATTCTGCCCAAGGAAATCAAGGCAGTTGAATGGTGAGGGGCTCCTCCTGGAGTTAGGGAGCATCCTGGAGCTGGGTTGGGCTCCAGGTCTCCCACATCCCTCCCAAGTGGCCGCCATCTTCACTTTGCCCAAAGACCTCCAGTGAAGGGAAACCCAGTTCCCTGCGGCCACCCCAGAGGCAGCACCCTCGCTCTGGTTGTTAGAAACGCCTTCCTTCCATCAAGCCTGATCTCCCTCGCCAGGCAAACACACCTGGTCTCTTGCAACCGAAGTCCCTTCAGATGATCAGAACAGTGCACGTTGACTGACATAACACTCTAAAGTTAGCAAAGTACTTGACTGATGTCAGTCCTCACCACAACCCTGGGAGGTAAGTTCCCATTTTACAGATGAAGAAATTGGGCCTGAGAGAGATGAAATGCATTGCCCATGGTCACATAAGTAGTAAATGAGACAGAATTCGAACTCGGGTCTTGTCTCCAAACCTGACCCTCTGTCCATTGCTCCACTCAGCTATCTCTTGGGAGCTGGCCGTCGTGTCCTGGCCTTCTCCCCAGGGCCTTCAATGGCTCTTCTCATGGCCTGCCTCCTGCCCCTTCCCCACTCTGGCCCCCTCCTCTGAAGATGTCTCTGCTTCAGATATGGTCAGCTAAGGGCAGAAGACAGCCTCTCTGACCTAGGCACTGCTCTTTTACTGGCCAGGCAATCTCAGATCTGCCGAACCACACTGCTGACTCAGCTTTAAGCTTGTGGGTCCACTAAGATAGGCCAGCTCCTTTACACATTACCCGTTTTCTTTGGTACCTGTAGGACCTCAAGTAAGTTATTCTGAGGCTTTGTTTCCTTCTTTGTAAAATGAAGGGGGTGGATCAGAAGGTCCCTCCCAATTCCGAGGCTATAATATGATACAATACACTCCTACTCTCTTCACCATTTTTACCTAAGCCGGCCGTACCTGCCACCATTTCTCCCCAGGCCCGTCCATCTGGAGAGCTGGGCCCCTCGCTTCTGCCTTTTGAGATGGTAGCATCCTCTGTACACCCATTAAAAGTTCCCGATTTGCTCAGTGATATGCGCTTGAGGTCTGTCTCCTCAGCTGCTTTGCTTTTGGAAGAGATAGAAGGCATTAGCTGTGATTCTGCACAGTGCAGGCCTGTTTTCCATCAGCCCTGGATTAATTACTTTAAATTTAAAATTTAATCAATGAACAAAAATGGAGCTGCTCTCCAGGGGAGCCAGGATTTTCGTCTCAGAGTGAATGTTCTATCGAGCTGCCTCCCTGTGCATGGGTGACTGTGCGTGGGCAGGTAGCTGGGCCTGGCCCCCTCCCCTAACCTCTCCTTTGCCCTGGGCAGCTGCCAGGCCAGAGCCACCATGGATGACTACGACATCAGGTCGGCTGCCAGCATCCTGGCCTCTGTCAAGGAACAGGAGGCCCGCTTTGAGCGGCTCACGCGGGCCCTGGAGGAAGAAAGGCGAAATGTCTCCCTGCAACTGGAGCGGGCCCATCAGCCCTGCGAGCAGCCCCGGGCCAGCACGTGCACCATTGGCAATGGGCAGCCCCTGGCTACTGCGTGGCAGCAGCTGGTCCTGCAGGTAACTCATCCCTGCATGCTCCCAGCATGGCTCCGTGATCGACGGCCCGCTCCTGGGCGGGGCTGAGGGCTGGGACACAGGCAGAGAGCTGCTGTCCCTCCACTGTCCCTCACACAATCAGGGTCCTCACTCACCTCTCTGGATAAAGTGCTGGCCTAAGGCTCTGCTGTAGTGTTCTCGGCCCTTCCTGCATCTGGCAGGATGACGTAGTCCTGGGGGATTGAAAACCGTTTGCTTTTCCCCCAATCTGTCTGCATGCATGGGAGTACACGCATGCTCACCTCTGTGTATGGTGGCCTCTGTGTATCTGTGGGTCTCTGCATGTATGTAAGTGTGAGGGCGTGAGGGTCTGGGCCTGTCTCTGCGTGCCCTTGCATTTTGCTAGAGGTGAACCTGAGGATGTGCATTGGTGAGCACGGTGCCAAGGTCAGGGGCCCTCTTGGAACAAATGACTCCTTGTACTGTGCCATCTGTGCGGAGCTGTGCTGTTGAGGCACAAGGCTGAAGGAGGCCAGGGCCCTAGGCCTGCCATGTTTCTGTGACTGGACTGGTCAGAGCTTGTTGAATTGGCAAGCGTTCCTGGAGGTGGC